GACTCATTGCCATGTTTTAATTTTATTTTTCTCACGGTCACGATGATAAGAGTGGGTTGCTCTAGTGGTAAGTTCGAGGTTGTGAGTTCGAGTCAACCCAAGAGCAAGGTGGGGAATTCTTGGAAGGAGGGAGCCGAAGTTCTATCGAAAACAGCATCTCTACCCCAGGGTAGGGGTAAGATCTGCGTACACACTATCCTCCCATACAAACTTGCCTACTACAAACTTGCCTGCTACAACTTTAATTAAAAAAGAAAAACAGAGATGACATAAAAGAAGGGGAAAAAGCAGTTAATTTCAAAGGCCAAGTAGGCTAGTGATAGTAATAGCAGCAGCAGAACTGAGGACGTATCTCTCCAATCTAAATTCCTAGTTGTCTATCTAGTTTGATTACTTATTGATTCCGCAATTTAGCATCCCTTCCTAGTTCCTACAATCTATTTCTGTAGAAGACAAGGCAAACATAAATTCCAACTAGGACACTGGGAAGAATTTCACATTGATGCCTATCCCATTTTCACCTCAATATTGATCAAAGGATAACTCTAACAACAACAATAACAACCAGTAGAATCCCACTAGTGGGATTTGGGAAGGGTAGAGTGTACGCAGACCTTACCCTTACCCCGAAGGGATAGAGAGGATGTTTCCGGAAGACCCCAAGCTACTAAAAACTTTATGTATATGTTTTCTCAAACTCCTCCCAAATTTGAAAGAATAAACATAATTACAACAGTATCATATATAACATGTTTAAAACTAGCTACTCTAATTCCCATCATATATTACATGGTACATGCTTTTTGCACCTTCTAATTTGGTTGCAATTGTAGGCTTCACTTCGAGAAAATGTTCATTTCACTTCTCGCTTCAAGCCGCCAGGACCCTAGTGCTTTTTTGTGCTTTTAGAAACATGGAAATCATCTAAAGTTCAAATTTTTTTTTGATAGTGTAACGACCCGACCGGTTGTTTTTAGTATTATAACCCCGTTCTCCAATTTACTGCTCATTTTATGCCGTACAATTGATTTATGACTTATCCGGTTAGTTGGTTCGGGTCCAGAAGGATTTCGGAGTGAAATGAGGCTCTTAGTTTCATAATTGAAAAGTTAAGTTGGAAAAGTTGATCGGATATTGATTTATATGTAAACGACCTCGGAATTAAATTCTGATGATTTCAATAGCTTCGTATGGTGATTTTGGACTTAGGAGCGTGTCCGGAAAATTATTTGGAGGCCCGTAGTGAAATTAGGCTTAAAATGCCGAAAGTTGAATTTTTGACAAGTTTGACCGGGGGTTGACTTTTTGATATCAAGGCCGGAATCCGATTCTGGAAAATGGAATAGTTTCGTTATGTCATTTATGACTTGTGTGCAAAATTTGAAGTCATTCCGGATTGATTTGATGTATTTCGGCACAAGATATAGAATTTGAAAGTTCAAAAGTTCATTAGGTTTCAATTGAGGTGTGATTCGTGGTTTTAGCATTATGTTTGATGTGATGCGAGGCTTCGACTAAGTTCGTATGATGCTTTAGAACTTGTTGGTATATTTGATTGAGGTCCCGAGGGGCTCAGGTGAGTTTCGGGGTGGTTTCGGACCATTTCTAGGCCATTTTTAATTGCTGGTTTCTGCCTACAGAGGTGTGCATCGCGATCGCGAACATTTGGTCGCGTTCGCGAAGAGCAAACAGCAGTTTGGAGCCTTGTAAATCGCGGTCGCGGAAGATATTTCGCGATCGCGTAGAACAAAATCCCTGCTGCACTAACCCGATTTTGGAAACTTATATCTCGCAATGTATAAGGAATTTGGAGATGATCCAAAAATAAAAGTTATAGACCTTGATATGTAGTTTTCAGAAAGGTAAACCATTTTTCATTTGGAGTTGTGTACAAAAGGTTATGGTAGATATACTATAGGTTGTCTGGGAAGCGTTTGGAAATCTCTGTTGCACAGGGCTGACTTTGGAAGCTTATATCTAGCAATCTATAAGGAATTGGAAGATGAGCAACATATGCAACTTATAGCCCTTGGAGTCTCGTTTTCAGATAGTTAAACCATTTTCGATTTGGTGTTTTGTACAAAAGTTTATGACCATTAGACTAAAGGCTATCTGGAAGAGTTGTGGAGTTTGTTTTTCGCGATCGGGAAGAGCAATTTTGGGGCTGAAATTTTTTTTGCTTTGCGATCGCGAAGAGTAAATATCTGGACAGTAGTTATAATTCGAGATTTCAGCCATTTTTAACATATTTGGAACTTTAGAGTTCGGAGTGAAGCGGTTTTTTAGGCGATTTTCACCATATGGATTGGGGGTAAGTGTTCTATATCCGAAAGTAATTATACTTCATGATTCTATGGTTATATTCATCATTTATTTCGGATTTAAATGGAAGAAATCAAGATTTTTGCAAAATCTTCCAAAAACGAAAATTTAAGATTTGGAGGTCGAGTTGTTATTGGAATTTGATAAAATTGGTATGGTTGAACTCGTATCGGAATGGGTGTTCGGATTTTGTAACTTTTGTCAGTTTCCGAGATATGGGCCCCACAGGCGATTTTTGAGTTAAATTTTGAATTTTTATGGAAATATTGTATTTTCATATGAATTAATTCCAATAAATTTTATTGACTGAAACAAATTAATTATGACTTAATTCGAGGCATTCAGAGGCCGATTTGCAAGGCAAAGGCATAGCAGAGTAAAGAATTTCACATTTTGAGGTAAGTGACTCTTTTAATCTTAGAGCTGAGGGTATGAACCCTGAATATACGTATTATATGAATTGTTTGGAGGTGACGCACATGCTAGGTGATACGCGTGTGGGAGTGCACTATAGAAATTATGACATATTGGTTCCGTGAAATTTTGTAATCAAATAATCTTGGAATTTTCTGTGTAGTTTTATGTGTTAAAGAAATTGAGCTGAGAATCATATTAAAAATCATGTTGAGGCTATGTGCCAGCATTATTGAAACACACAAAGATCATATTGCTGTAAAGTTATTTGTTTAAAATGAAATTTCATTCTCAGTCATGTTCATTCATTTCATATCATCTCTCAGTATCTGTTGCTATTTATTGATTCATCATATCATCATTTTGGGCTAGTTTCATGACATTGTGAGCCCGAGAGACTGGAGAGATTGATGACTGAGTGAGGCCGAGGGCCTGATTGTGACGATAATTATGGGATCGGGCTGCACGCCGCAGCATGCCAGATTGGCTTATTAAAGCACGTGAGTTGTCCGTGCAGATCCAGATATTATTATAGCACGTGATTTGTCCGTGCAGCACGTGAGTTGTCCGTGAGGATTCAGATATTATTATAGCACGTGAGTTGTCTGCGCATCACATGAGTTGTCCGTGCGGATCCAGATATTATTATAGCACGTGAGTTATCTGTGCAGCACGTGAGTTGTCCATGCGGATCTAGATATTATTATAGCACGTGAGTTGTCCGTGCGGTTTCAGATATTATTATAGCACGTGAGTTGTCTGAGCGGATCCAAATATTGATACTATAGCATGTAAGTTGTCCGTGCAGCACATGAGTTGTCCGTGCCGATTATAGCGCTTGGGCTGAAAGGAGCCCTTCCAGGAGTCTGTACACCCCTAGTGAGCGCAGTCGACTATAAATAGGGATCGGGCTGCACGCCGTAGCGGGTATGGTACAATGATGTGTGATTGAGTGTGTTGCGTATAGCGAGAGAGAATGTGAGATAGTGAGATGAGTACTCTGAGAGTGTGAGTAGATGAGCGCATCATCGAGATGCATTGCATTTGACATGCGTACTTGAGATACATGCATAGAGGTGCATTTCCTTCTACTATCTAGTTTTGGGGATATTTGTGATTTTACCTGTATCTTGACATGTAGGCATAGAGAAGTACTTTCCTCATGCTATCTGAAAATGAAACATCTTACTATCTATTGGAAGGATTTTGGGGGGGGGGAAATCATAGTTTTCAAACTTACTCATATTTTGGCTTTTTCGGTAAAAGATTTGGATTTTCATCGAGATACTCTTTTGTTACGTGTTCTATGCTGTTATGAGCAATTGTGGGATATTGGTGTTGAACCCGACCTTTTTGTTAGCTCGTCATTACTTTAAACCTAAGGTTAGGTTTGTTACTTATTGAGTATATGGGATCGATTGTACTCATACTACACTTCTGCACCTTGCATGCAGATGTTGGCTGCTGATGTTGCTGTGTTCGATAGGAGCTGGATTTGAAGATGTACCTCCGTTCCGGTTGTAACTGCCTCTTGTTCATGGTAGCCTTAAATTCATAAAACTCTATTTATGTACTTTTCAAACATATGATGTATTTATTTTATACCAGCTTTGTAAACTCTATTCTTAGAAGCTCATGATTTATATTACCAGTTCTTGGGGAATGTATAAGATTCAGATAATTTTTTTACTTAATTGCCTTATTAATTTTTATTGGAATTGATTAGTGGTTAACTGATTTACCTAGCGGGTTGGGTTATGTGCCATCATGACTAGTTGGATTTTGGATCATGACAGATAGATTCAACTAGTGGTGGCAAAATGGTTAAAAGAAAACAGTTAACCATCCATATTATCCACCAAAAATTAGGTTGGATAATGAACTTTTTAAAAACGGATCAAATATAGATAAGAACCATATTATCCATTTAGAAAATTGATAACCAATAGGAAACCAATGGATAACCAATGAGTTTAACTTTTACATTTGTAAAGCCTCAAATTAAGAGTTCCTCAAGTTTGGGAGACTAGGAATTCTCCCAAAAGTGATCATATTCAAGAAGTCATTGATAATATGGTTACCCATATTATTCGCCGGTTAACCTGTTTTTTATCTGTATTAAATATGGGTTGGGTCGAATAATTTATCCGTTTTTTCATTACCCGTTTTCGACCTGAACCATATCCAACCCGACCCTCCCATTTCCCACTCGTAGGTTCAACTTAAAGTTTAAACTTAAAAAGGGACTACTACAAGTAGATCTCTATCGATGCAACAAGTAGGGTATATTATAATTTTAAATTAGAGCAAGCATCTCAGTGACCACAACGACCACAACCAAGTGCGCATAAATACAAGTAATTAAGAAAATATTTTCGTCACCGAACCAATCATTTGCAAGTCTGCTTCATCTCCTCTTCAATTTCCACGGACTTCAGTAGGAGGCTCAATATAAGAGCTAGAGACAAAGATCAGAATGAATTAAAGAGTCAATACGGGTAGGATAAATACTAAGTTCATATTAAAACAAGACCTACTCAACAGACATTGAAAAGCAGGCACAACTACTAGTTTCCCAGCATAAAACTATCAGATTAGGGAGCACTAGAACCAGGATAAATATACTAAGTTCTCTAGGATTTTGCATTCAACCATTTCTTTAAGTAATTGATGAAAACATGCATAGATATATTTTCTTCATTGTTGGTAACAACACTTATAACACTAGTGACCTTTTTTAAGATTTAGAAGAACAGTATGAATGGTTGGAGAGACGTAAACATTTCATCAAGAAGGTTCTCCTTTGGTTCTCAGCAACCTCTAGCGGTGAAAAAGATGGAAGGTTATACAGTCAGACATCTCTATAACAATATCCCTATATAACAACACTTCTCTATAAAAATCAAGCTTTTTCGGAACCAATTTTTATGTTATGTTATAATATATGTTCTCTGTAACAGCATTTCGCTATAACATCTAAAATTATTCGGAACAAACGAGACTGTTATAAAGAGGTTTGACTGTATCTTGTGGATATTCGGTGCCTACGCATTTGAATATTTTTGCTCCCGAAAAAGCTTTGGGAGATACGTCAGACATGGTGGCGCGCAGTTCAATTTCCGGGTAGACTCAGACATCAAATTTGGGAATTGAAAAAAAGGTTTTCGTTTGGGAAAAAACAGTGGTTTATTTGATCAATTTCCAAATCTTATTGCTTGGATTGCAGTCAAGAACACGCATGCTTGATGCAGAATTAGTGGAAATCACTCAGGATTTCTCCCAGAGTCTGCACTTCACAGCTCAATTGTGGAAGCTTTTCAAGAATTTTGTGAACATTAGGGACAAAACCTGATCTTTTGAGAAGTTGGTATAGATCTGGATTGGACAAAAGGGGCAGAACACATCAGATCTCATAGAGTTACTTCAAGTATACAATTATGTTTTTTTGCTTTCACATACAGCAATCTCAGCTCCTCTTACTGCTGGTTTGTGATTAATAAGTACTTATTACCTTTTTAAATGAAAAAAAAACTGAGAAGGTATAACTTACTCATTGATTTTCATCAGCTCCCATTGTCCCCTGCAAAAAAAGTAAGAATAAGTGTTTCAGAAGAGAACAGTCTCCTTGTAGGAAAGACAGTCAGTGAAAAATTCTTCCAAGTTTAAAGGTAATAAAAAAATCACATATATTTTGATTTTCACTTTTTTTATCTTTTTACAAAATCTATCCAAGGTTGAGATACGCACCAGTACATGTAGGGAAGCATAGCTGCGATAATCCCGTTACAGAAAGCTTTAACTGAAACATGAGAGTGTGAGATCTGAAATTTGAAATTTGAAGGGAAAATTAAACAAAGTAGGTTCACAAAATTTACCCTCAAGAGGATAACCGCCTCTGCGACTGCGAGTGGGAGAAACTTGCTGGCAGTATCCCCTAATTCGGAATCAATAAGACACGAAACGTTCAATTCTGTCAAAGGAAGAATAATACATAACAATAAAAATAATAAAATACCTTATCTGTGTTGGTGCTCCGAGCAAAACCTTACCAGCACCAGCAGCGAATTTTCTGTCCGAACCATAAAAAAACAACAAAAATGAGACAAAATTCAATAAGTCCTCAGATAGATAAAAACTTTAGGCTGAAACCAACCCACCCTCCGAGACGGAAAGCCATTAGCGCACAGCAATCTTCGTTGAAACAAAACAAACCCTAGCAGCAGATGTCGCTTGACCTCTTCGTATAAATAAAAATTTTCAATCTAAAATCAATTTGTAGCTACTGTCAGACGGGCCGGCCCATGCTAGGCACAGGCCCGCCCAATTACATACACTGCGACCCATTTAATTGCTGTGGATTTTAAGTTTAATCTCCTTCTCCCTAGCGATATCGATGAATATTTAAAATCCCACTGAATCGTTTTTTAAGTTTCTTTTAATAAAACAGTAGGTTTTTATATAAATCTATAATCGTGCCAATAATTATGATAAATTTTTTATTTTATGAAAATAAATCGAAAAAATATTGAACTATACCGAATAAATTTACATGTAGAAAATATATTTATATATTAAGTTTAAAAATAATAAAGTATTAAAAAAATTGAGCATTGGAATTATAAAAATGGTTAAAATTCAACGAGTAATTAAACTCAAAATCCTAATTCCCAAAACTATTATGCTACTCCTATTTAAACTAAAGTATTTTCAACATATTCGCTAGCAAGACACAAGGTATTCTAGCGATTATGAGTATCAAACGACAATGTATTGAATATGTTCCCTTTCGTATGATTTAAGTTTATCTTTTTGAATATTTAATCTTCCATATACTTTATTCTTGAATCTCAACTTGGTTAATATCTTTTCATTCATGTGATTTATGCTTTCTTTGTATTTGCTTGGTTTCTTTTATGTTGTTGTAGAATAGTTGATGGATCTAATACTATGCATCTTTCATATTTTCTTAACTCATCACCCTTTAAACAGTAAAAATGTTTAGAGAGTTTTACGAAGTCCTAGTGATTTTTACCTGACATTTAAAAAAATACTGAAAATTAATCGAACCATACCGATACCGAAGAGAAACTGACATGATTGGAACGGTTTTTGAAAGTCTAATTTTTGTTATACATAATAAAATAATCAAAAAATTGGTATGGTACAAATTTTATAAAACAATCGGCGGAACCGACACATTGACACCCCTACTTCTCTCCCTCTATCAGTCTGTCCCAAGTTGTCTTTCCTTCACGTCCTTGAAATTTAAATTAATTGAGTTTTGATTAGTATTCTAAAATATATTTTTGCACATTAACATGATCAGAGTTAATAATTTCTAGTACTTTTTAGGGAAATTATCAGTTATGTCAGCCCATAAGTAAGTAAGTATAAAAATTTATCAATTCATAAAATATTACTGTATTATCTAATTGGCTATTTATAGCCAAAATAATATCATTTTTTTGCTTTCTTTGTGTATAACGCGTGTATGGAGATTTAATTACTTTCTGGTAGTATTACTAAACAAAAAATATTATTAATGTAAAATCCTAGTCCACTTGAGTCCAAAATATTAAGACCTTATGCATAGTTTAAACGGAAAGGGGTCAAAAATACTCCTAACATATTGAAAATGGCCCATAAATGCCCTCCGTTAACCTTTTGGTCTAAGAATACCTTTAGCGTTTTATTTTTGGCTCACATAATTTTACATTTTGTCTTATATTCCTTTTCAGTAATACAGGGTAGCAACTCCTGGTTACATTTTTTCCCGATAATACAGGGTACCAACCCCTGGTTACACTCATTTCGGTAATATAGAATTTCAACCCCTAGTTACATTCTTTTCGGTAATACTGGGTGTCAACCCCTGGTTGCACTTCTTTTAATAATATAGGGTGCCAACCCCTGATTTCATTCCTTTCAGTAATACACGGTGCCAAACCCTAGTTACATTCCTTTGTAGTGATACAGAGTACCAACCCCTAGCTACTTTCCCTCTCAATAATACAAGGTTCCACCCCCTGGTTACATTCCTTCCTAGTGATACACGGAGTCAACCTCTGGTTGCATTCCTTCTTAGTGATACAGGGCGCCAACCCCTGGTTATATACATTCCTCAGTAATACAGAGTGTCATCCCCTGGTTACGTTTTCTTTCAAGTAATACAAGATACCATTCCTTAAGTGCTTTCTCTTTTGGTAGCACAATGTACTAGTCCGTGGTTGCATATCATCACATAGCTTGGTTATACTCTTGTCTTTGTCTTCCTTTCAATAAGTTAGATATTTTATAGCTTTCTCTAATAACTCACAAAACTTTTCTAGTCCAAACTGGGGCAGAAAAATTTTGTTCGTTTTGTTCGTCTTTGATGGCTTTGCAGGCTCCGCCGTATAGCACAAGTGATGATTAAAGCTTGCAGTTTCAGTTTCTCATCAGAAGAAAGAAGTCCTTCGATCACAAGATAGTTGGAGTTAGCTTTGTTAATGTGTTAGCAACTCAGCATCTCAAGATTTATTTTCTTAAATTCTGATCCGTAAAGCAAGAAATCGAGAATGACCCGTAATCTTTTCTTCAAAGAGCATCAAGATCCAATCTAAGGTCAACACAAGCGAGCATGTCAAGAATCAAGATTTGACTCCACAAGACACATAGATCTGAATTTTGTAACTCTTAGCTTGCAGGCATATGTAGTTCTATTCTCTTTTCCTTTTGATGTAAGTATGACCACCTATTTTGACTATATTTGAATTTTTATCACCTTCTACTGTGTAAATATTTTTAGAAATTTAATATATATATTTTAGCTTTGTTACATTTTTTATATAGAGGAAACAAAATTTAAAATAATTTAAATTTTCAATTATTACTATTAATATTATTTTTATTTTTATTTTTATCTTTTTTAAAAAAATAAAATAAATTAAAAACCCAAACAAAATTAAATATTTTTAAAATTTTCGGATTTGAATAAAATAATAGAAAAGTAGAAGTGTGGAATTAAAAAGTAAAAGTAAAAGAAGGTGGAAATTATTTAATAAAAAGTAAAAGAAAGTGAAAATTTTAAAAATTAAAAGTAAAAGAATATGGAAATTTAAAAAATGAAAAGTAAAAGAAAGTTGGAATTAAAAAATAAAAGTAAAGGTATCTGAAAATTTTAAAAAAAAATTAAAGAGAGTGGAAATTAAAAAAAAGAAAATTAAAATAAGTGGAAAATAAAAAAAAGAAAAGTAAAAAAAGTGAGATTTTAAATATAATAAAAGTAAAAAAGTGAGAAATTAAAAAATAAAAGTAAAGGTATCTGAAAATTTTAAAAAAAAATTAAAGAGAGTGGAAATTAAAAAAAAGAAAATTAAAATAAGTGGAAAATAAAAAAAAGAAAAGTAAAAAAAGTGAGATTTTAAATATAATAAAAGTAAAAAAGTGAGAAATTAAAAAATAAAAGTAAAAGTAAGTGAGAAATTATTTTCTTTTTTAAAAAAGAAGAAAAAAATGGGAAGTGGGAATACTTTTTAATTAAAAGTTAATAAAATAATAAAACAAATCTGAAAAAATTCCGAAATTGTTTATAAGTAGAAGAGAAATGTGAGGAGAGAAAAAGATAGAGAAGAAGAAAAAAAAAAGGGAGGAGAGAATTGAGAGAAATTTATTTTCTTCTTCTAGGATAAGGGAATTTCTACTCGTGTCATTCTTTCTTCGTCTTTCTTTCGAAAAATTCAGTAAAATCAAACCCCAAAACAGCTTTAAACTCAGCAAAAATAAGTCACTAAATCACCGATTTTACAAGGTCGATCGGGGTTGCTAGTCGCGATTTATCGTTCGAGGTTTTATGGCCGGTGAAAGCTCCAGTCAACACTCGTCGAATTGTTTAGCGCTCTTGTAATTTTAACTTTGTTAATTTATATCAAAGGTCCGTTATTTCCCTTTCTTTGCTGATTATTTTGTCAATTTACCTTCTTGTCTGTTGGTGTGATTATTGGGTAGCATGAAGTAGTAATTCACTATATTGATATTTGGATCATTTGAATCTGATTGTTTCCTTGTTCATATGTTTATTGGACCATGATGTTAATTTTAGAGTTGCAAAGTTTTGTTCTGAGTTGATTTAACCGGATAAAGGGTCTATTGAATTACTGTAATTTGGCTTGTTTACTAATTTTGTTCATGAGATTGTGGTGTCATTAGTTTTGTTTTAGAAATGTACAGAATATGGGATATTGGGTTGGATAATTTGCTTNTGTTTATTGGACCATGATGTTAATTTTAGAGTTGCAAAGTTTTGTTCTGAGTTGATTTAACCGGATAAAGGGTCTATTGAATTACTGTAATTTGGCTTGTTTACTAATTTTGTTCATGAGATTGTGGTGTCATTAGTTTTGTTTTAGAAATGTACAGAATATGAGATATTGGGTTGGATAATTTGCTTGGGCCACGATTTGTTTTTAAGGAAATTGATTTTTGGGTTGTTGGAGAAGAAAGGATTTTGGGCAAAAGATTTAGTCTCATCAGGCCCAAAGTAATAAATAACATAATTGGTCTCATCTTTCTCTAAGCTAGCCCATTTTTCTATAAATAATAAATTCAATTCTTCCACAAATAATTCCATAATTCATGACCTTACAACAATTTCAAAATAATTTGAGTAAACAATCTTATAAACATCTGTAGCTTGCTTCAGGCGCGATTAATAAATCATCGTGATTATAGGTACAGTTCCCGTGGTATAGTCACGATACGTAACTCCAAATTCGAGTGCGCGTTTCACGCGACTTGACCATAACTCCAAATAATAATAAAAATAAACATGTTATAAATTGTGGGTGCGTTTCACGGGGCGCGGTTTGCAATGTATACCAAAACGATAAGTGTACGACATCGTAGCTTGTTAAAAAATAACTCCATAAATACTAAAAAGTGGTTAAGTAAATAATCAAAAATGTTAAAGAGTAAAATGCACAATAGGTTTTAAACACGTAATAAATCAGATAATTAGGCCAATTATTAATAGTTGAGCGACCGTATTAAAACCACGGAATTCGGGAGTACCTCACACCTTCTCCCAAGTTAACAGAACTCCTTACCCGGTCTTCTGTGGTTACAGATCATAAATAGAGTCAAGTTTCTCGATTTGGGATTTTAAAATAAACCAATAACTTGGGACACCATAAATATTCCAAAGTGGCGACTCTGAATTAAATAAATAATCTCATTTCGAGTAATGTCACTTACATTGGAAAAACTCCCTATCCCTCGAGAAAAATGAG